ACAGAAAGACAGATATACAGAAGGATAGATGGATAGACAGACATATACAGATAGACAAACAAGCAGACAGACAGACAAAAAGACAGACAGTTGGATGGATAGACAAATAGAAAAATAGACATGTGGGTAGACAGACAGAAACAGAAAGAAAGCTAGATGGAGAGAGATAGAAAGACAGATAGACAAATAGACATATATAGACAGACAGACTGATATGCACAAGGACAGACAGAAAGATGACATAAAGAGAGAGATAGATGATGAGAGAGACAGAGAGAAAGAGAGACAGAGATCATATACTAAGCTCTTACCATACGCCAGACACAGGGCTAAGCACTGGGGATACAAATGCAAGCCAGTCATTCTTTGCTCTCAGCGAACTTATATTCTAAAGGAGGAAGATGAGAAGTGTTGGGAAATGGGGGAAGGGAACTGGAAGTTTTCAGGGGTGAGTCCACAGCAGGAAGGATGAGAACAGAAGGCCCAGCATGGAGACAGCTGGTTTGACTAGCTCAGCTGATCAGTACTTAGAGAGGGCTAAGGACACAATTTCTATCCCCTGAAAGTTATCCAGGTAACCACAAAGATTCTGACTCTTCCGAAGTCATACATTCACTTGACTGCACTCCTGACCTTGGAGAGTTAGGTGGAACAGTGGATGGACCACTAGTTCTAGAGTCAGGAAGACCTGAATTCTAATCCTCCATCAGTCACTTACTAGCTGGGTGACCCTGGGCAAATCAACAACATCTCTCAACCTGCCTTCTTCTCTGCAAAATAAAGGAGTTGAACTTGATGGCTCCTAAGGTCCCTTCCAGTTCTAAATCCCATGATGAGTTGGGGGGGGGAATGAAATGACTTACCCAAACCTAACAATGGGTTGGCATTGCATCACCACATTGATTTTTTGTTTTTCACCTGGATAAATAAAAGGCAGAAGCTTGATAGGCATTATTGGCTAACATTTTCATCAAAAGGAGGCGTAGTTCCTTTCTACTGGCAGGATACTTACTGTTTTCCTCTCTTCCCCTTCTAAGCCAAACTTGAGAAAGTTGTCTACACTAGGTGCTTCTGCTTCTTACTTGCTTCTAAACCCTCTTCAAACTGGTTTGTGATCTCAGGTTCTTAATATTTTTGGGTTATAGAGTCCTTTGCCAGTGCAGGGAAATTTTTTTAAATGCCTACAATAAAATGCATAGGATTAAAAAGGAAACCAATTAAACTGAAATAGTCATCAACGTATTAAGAAATAATAAAAACAAGTTCATGGGCTGGAGGTTGAGAACCCCACAACCTGAGCGCCTGTGAGGACCCGTCCAGCTCCAAAGTTGGCCAGCTTCCTCCACTTCATTTTACAGTTTAAGAAATAGAGGCAAGTGGCCTCCAGACATCACCCTTGTGAAGGACAAACTAGAACAGCAATCAGAAGCCAGAGTAGGCTAAGACTTCTGGGGCCAGTGAGTGCTAGCCAACAGCTTGGCCTTCTGACTAGGGCTGTTTTTCCTTTGCTGTTACTTGCCAGTGAAAACAAAACAAAAGCTGCCAAAGGATCTACTCCTCCTCTGCCTCATATTTCAAAGGAGGACGTCCAGGACAACAGAAGAAAAGTCATTAACTTGGACTATTGGAAAGACATCAATTAACAATGGCTTTCTTCCTGCCCAGAGCACTACTACTTACTGAAGCCTCAAAAGTGGGAGACAGTCCAGGTCAGCATTATCAAGTGTCCTCCTTGACTGGGGTGAGTTATTCTAAATCCAAACTATTTCATTGTACCAAAAAGCTCCTTGGCAGTATTCTAGGTGATCTTTTTTAAGTTCCACCTTTGCAGATTGAAGCATACATTTTTACGCTTTATTTTTCTTGTTTGTGTGAGTGTGTTTTCTTTAGCAACATGGCTGATGTGGAAATACGTTTTGCATGACTTCACATGTATAATTGATATCAAGTTGCTTGCCTTCTCAAGGAGGAGGAAGAAAGAGAATTTGGGACTCAAAAAATTTAAATAATATTTTATTTTTTTTTCCAATTACATGTAAAGGAAGTTTTTAACATTCACTTTTATAAGATTTTGAGTTCCAAACTTTTTTCTCCCTCCCTCCCCAGGATGACAAGCATCTGATATAGGTTATACATGTACAATCATATTAAACATATTTCCACATCAGTCGTGTTGTGCAAGAAGAATCAAAACAAAAGGGAAAAACTAAGAAAAAGAAAAAACAAAACAAAAAAAGTGAAAATAGTATGCTTTGATTTGCATTCAGACTCCATTCTTTCTCTGGATGTGAATAATATTTTCCATCATGGGACTCAAAAATTTTTCAAATAAATGTTAAAATTTTTACATGTAATTAATTTGAAAATATTTAATGAAATATATACATATATGTATATATTTTTAAAATTCCACCTTTGAAACCTGCCATTTGGGGGATATCCCAGAGGTCATTAGTGCAAATTTATAACATTCTTCCCAAACCTGTGAGAAGTGGGTGAATTAGCCCAGTCTGCTAGATTATGGGAAAGCAAACAAAGCCGAATTCTACATCTCACAGACACACACTTATAACACAAACGGAATCATTTTCATTATTAGTGTTATTATTCTTCCTTGGAAAACAATTCAGCACAGCAGTCTCTCCAGTGAGCCTGAAGGAACAGTGTGACCTTGCCAACGATGTTTATACAGTACTACAATAAGGATTTTTAAAAGATAAATAAAAGCATGAAATTGCCCAAAGTCACAACCGTAGTAGAGACTCAGATACATAATGAACCTGAAGCGGTTTTTTGCCGGGATGTTAAATAGTCCCATTAATGCCTGGGAAATACTGGGGAGCCTGAAGACTGTGGAAAGAGCTTCTGAATAGAACCCGGGTGTGGGCTAAGAGCCTACCTTTCTCGGCCCTCACGTGGTGTTATTTTTAATGAGAACGCCTGATAAATAAACAGGCAGCATGGCGTGTTTGTTGTGACATTTAAGGGTTGAGCTGATTTCAGGCAGGGAGCGGCGATAGTGGGATCTTGGCACTAACTTCACTATCATTTGGCCAGACAGTGCAATAAACTTCATCGAGGGCCGGGAGCCCGGACGCTGATGGGAAAGCCAGGCCCTGGAAACAAAGACAGCTGTGTTCATTTTGCCCAGAGTTAGCAGAAGGCAGATGGGCGGCCACTCCAGGGAGCTCAAGAGTTAGACCTTCTGCGTTCGGGAGCTGCCTTTTATTTAGGACGACTCCCTGAATGGCTTTACCGATTTCCCTGTCTCCAAATCACAAGAACATCCGTTCTCTGGACGGGGCTTTTCTCAGGCTTTCAGGCAAGCACTGAGTGACACTCGGAAACAGGGTGAGCTCAGGGTAAAAGTGATGATGTGTGAGTGTTTTTCCCCCAGATCATATCTCTATAAAACGACTCCGAGGCCTTGAAACAGCCCCCAGCCCCACCCCTAAGGAGGGCCTTTGGGGATGAGGACACCCCTGAAGGATTCTCTCATCCCCGGAAGAAATAAATCACTGAGGAAAACCCTAATGGCCTGAAACAAAGGCTGAATGGACGTGGGTCCCCTCGGATCCCATCTCTCGCCCCCACCCCTATTCCCTACTCTCTTTTTTTAGGACTTTCCACCCGGCAGGCTACTCCACAGAAAGAAGAGGAGCGGGGGAGGGCAGGATCTGGGGGGGTGGATCCTAAGTCTCCAACCATCCAGTAAGACACATCCACCCCCGCCCACCCTGGGCTTCTAAACAAAGACAGCAGGCGTGGGCGTCCCCCCAGAGGCGATCCGACGGCACCCGCAGGCTGCTCCCCCGGGATCAGAAGGGCGGGCCAGGCTGAGGCAGGGAACAGACTCAGCCCCGAAACGCCCCGATCTGGGACGAGGAAGGGAGACTAGACCCCTCCCCTTGCCGTGTCTAAAGGCAAATATCCCAGCAGTCCCCAGCTCGGGGAGGAGTATGGCCAGGAGGGGAGGGGAATGAAAAAGGGGTGGGAAAGGGGGGGGGGTCTCGGATTTGGGTTCCTGTGACCCAGGGTTGCCCCGCTGGTGGCCGCATTTGATTAGTCCGTAGCCCGGGGAGCCTCCTTCTCCCCTGCCCCCTCCCCACCCTGACGCAGTGGTGCAGCCCCCATTTAAACCGGCCACGTAGCCGCCTCTCTCCCCCAGGCCCCAAGCCTTCCCCGAGCCCGCCTAGCACCGGAGGAGCCAGAGGAGGCTCCGGGAGCCCGACAGCCCCAGGGGCGTCCAGACCAGACCCAGCCCCTGAGCCCTCCACCCCCCGCGGTCAGCTGCGGCCCCCTCACACACCTGGATTGCTCCGCCCTCGCCCCTAACCCTAGGGAAAAAAGGGAGCCTCCGAGAGCGGGGACCAGGGGGCTCCCCTAGTGGGCTGGCACCTGCGAGGAGGAGGAGGGCGGCGGCGGCTAAGGGGCAGTGAGCGGGTAAGTCTGTAGCTGTCCCCTCTTCCCCCAGAATCCCCACTCGGACACCCCGGTTTTCTCCGCCTCTCCTAAGGAAACTCGGCTCCCGGCAGTGAATCCCTCCCCTTCTTCTTGGACCTCGGGAGGAGATGCCCAGCCCTGCCTCGCCCTCCCCGATCTCCCTCCAGCAGCCCCGTATGTTAGCGCCGCCCAGCCAGTAGGCTGGGAGTTTTCCCGCCGCCTCGCGTTTAACTCCGCTTGTCAGCCTGAGGGCTCTAGCCCCTCACCCCGACCCCGCGCGCCCGCCCGCGCCAGCCCGACGGGGCTAGCATCTCCTTAGCTCTCTCTGTTTAGCTGGCCCCAGCCCCGCTCCGCACCCCCTCCCCTGCTATTGTTCTCCTGGAGAGAAGGCACCCATCTGGTTTGGGGGCGGTGGCGACGGGGGCGGGGTGGGGCCGGCGCTAGCTCGGGTTTGCCTGGGTGACATTGCGCGGACGCCACGCGCGGCTGCTCCTCGGGTGCGGACGCCAGGGACAGGACGCACAAGAGAAGTCTCCTCCTTTGTTTCGGGTGGGGAGGGTGCGGGGGTTGGTTTCCTGGGCTGCAGCTGAGGTTGCTTAGTCTTCAACCCCACCCCCCCCCTAGTTCACCCCATTTACGGGGCCAGGTTACAGCCGCCTTTTGTGGGTTCGCATTCTTGCGATTGGCGGATTCTTTTTGGAAAGCCCACGAGGCGGCTACTTATCTGCATTGACTAGTCAGGCAGCCAGCTTCACTCTCTTCTCGCTCGCTCGCGGCGCTCCCGGTTGTACCTGCCGCCTCGCCTCGGGCTGGGCATCGCTGGGCATCTCTGGGCACTTCTGCTCGCTCCCTCCTTCCTCTCTGCCTGGCTGCCCGAGGCGTCTCTCCCTCTCTGTCTTCCGAGACTCCGCTGGCTTTCCTCTGTAGCTTTGCTCCTGACGCTTTTGGGCACCTGTTGTGGGCAGGGAAAGCAAAGATGAAGGTCCTGGGACATAAGATAGAGTTGTTAACAGGTAAATGTTACAGTTCGTGTGTGTGTGTGTGTGTGTGTGTGTGTGTGTGTGTGTGTGTGTGTGTGTGTGTGCGCGCGCGCGCGCTCCACCTCAATTTCTTATTGACCCTAACCGTGGTCTCTTTCAGGGTTTGGGAAAGGTTGTTTATTACTTTCCCATCGAACTTACTAGTTTCACTAGTCCGGTGCCAGCCAAGGTTGGGTTCGTGGCCAGACAAGCCCTGTCCTAGGTGCCGGCTGGCCCTTAGTGTCTAACGGCTAGTGTGCCTTTTTTTGGGGGGGGGGGGAGGCCGGTAGGGGAAGGGAGAAAGTGTGTTATGTTTGCCCTAAGGTTGGGGGCCGTGAGGCAGAGGATGGATTGGGGAAATGAAGGCTGGTAACTAGCGGAAAGATCCTTCACTGATGGCAATTGTATTGAGGAGCCGGTGAGGCAGATTAACTCTATAGTCCCTGAGGACTTGACTTTTTCCAGTTTTCCTTCATCCTCCCTTTTGTATTTATTTAAATTCAATTCGAACGTTAAGTGGCTCCTGCAGGAGAACTTGGGCACAAAAGTGAAAAATGAAATAGGCTGTACCCTGAGGAACCCTACGTTCCAGTATGTGTGCACATAAAAATAACGATAATAATAATAATAATAAACCATACTAACTAGCATTTTATGTCACTTAAAACGTTCTACATTTATCATCTTATTTGATGCTCACAAAAACCCTGGCAGATAGTATTATCCCCACCTTACATATGAGGAAACCGGCACAGAGAAATTAAGTAATTAGCTCAGGATTCCACAAGTAAGTCAGGATTTGAATTTAGGTCTTCCTGACTCCTCAGCCAACATGTCACCAACATGGAAAAGCCAAGATGAATAAGATCCTCAGCTGGCCCCTGGCTAGTCAGATCCCTGAAAAGCAAGGATCCAATGTCTCTGACACTCCAGTTACTGTTAGGATCCTTCACAAGTATATTACCTGTCCCCTCCCTTCCCCTGGAGGCTTCTGGGTTCTGAGCCCTTTCCACAGGTAGCCTTTATCTAGTACTTTAAAAATTTGCAAACGACTTTACAAATATTATTCTGAGCACTATCTTTCTTGGGCAAAAAGTTTCTTCCTGCATAACTGAATCCTAACTAACTCCAGGGAAATAGGATTTGGCTGGCCATGGGAGACAGTGACTTGGTGGGCACCACCAATGACGGAGTTGTTAGGCCCTGGTAATTGAGGACTTCTACACACCACCCTCCAGGAGCCTCCTGGTCCCCTCCCCTAGGTACTCACACAAGTATGCCCACTAGCCCAAGATTTCAAACTCAAGAACCAAGTGGCTGGGCTGGAGAAATCCAAACAAAAAACCTCCAGGACCTTTAGCAGCTCTAGGGATTTTGATCACTGATGCTAGCTAGTCCTTCTATGAGGGCAGAAATAGTAAAGACACTTGTTCTGGTGCCCTTTCTCCTCTTCTCCCTCCCCTCCTCCCCCCAAGGAAGGAGTCTTTGGTTATTGAAATTAAAGGGAGTGTAAACAAGCAAGCTATAAGAATTGGAGAGAGAGGGAACAGAGTTGAACACTGAGAGCCCTGGCAATGCCTGTTCCCTTTTCCCTAGGCTGACCTAGAGAAGATCTCTCTGGCAGAGAAACACCCCCCACCACACACACACACACACACACACACACACACACACACACACACACACACGAAATTCAAAAATGGGAGAAGTTCAAGCAATCCTTTTGAAACAAAAAGAGTTGAAGGAAGGTTCATGAGCAATTTCTCTAGTTTTTAGGTGATCTTCAAAGGCAGGAGGACTGGAAAAGGGGGGCCCTGGGGCTCTCCAAAGATGAGCAAGGCAGCCTTCTTGGAACTGGGGTTGGTGATGGAGAAGGATGTTCTCCCTGGCTACTAATGGTTTAGTTATTGCAGGCTATTCCATTTTCAAGAATTAATACTTTGGAGACTAAATGTCTGCATTGGACTGTAGCAACTGGAGGGAGAAGGACCTTCTGCTTATTTTTAAAACCATTGTACTGGGAGCCAGAGCTCCTGGGTCCTGATTCTACCTTGGGGATCCAAAAAGTACAGCTAGGTCCTGAAGAGTATGAATAATAAATCCCCTGAAGTGTTCACATTATTAGAATTTACACTGCATATTTCCATTGGGCTGGAACCAATTATCGTATTTTACCAAATTGTAACTTCAAATAGTACAAAATTGAATACATTTGACCACTTCAGGGAATTCATTATTCCCAGCCATGGGGACCTAGCTGTATTTCTTTCCTTCCTCCTTAAGGGGGTGGTGGTGGTGGTGAGAAATGTCTCTAAAGTTCATTGTGTACTTGAAGTGAGTATCTTTATGAGATGCAAAGCCTAAAGGAACCCTTCTATGTTGCTGGTTTGGGAGAGGACACACATTGAGGGAGAGACTTTCAAGCCATCAACATTTTACTGAGTGCTGTTCATACCAGGACAAAAGCAAAAATAGTCCTTGCCCTCAAGGGGCTTGCGTTCTAATGGATTGTATATTTGTAGTATAGGAGTAGGAATGATGCTTTTTGGAGTCTGAGGACCTGAGTCTGAATCCTGACTTGGGCACTAAATGTTTGAGTGATGCCAGGCAGCTCACTTAACTTTTCTTGGCCCTTACTTCATTTGTAAAATGAGGAGATGAGATTAGAAGGTCTCTAAGGTCTCTTATGGTTTGAGTGATGTGGCAGAAAGGACACTGGGCCAGAAATCAGGGGGCCTTTGGTTTGAGTTCCAGCTCCGGGTGACCCTGGGCAAGTCATTTTAAATCTCACCTCTGCCTCTTAGCACTTTTGTAACCTTGGCAACCTTTCTGGGCCTCAGTTTCCTCATTTGTAAAATGAGGGGAGTGTCTAGCTGGGCTCTAAGATCCCTCCCAACTCTGATCCTATGAACTCTGAGCCTCAGTTTCCTCATTTGTAAAATGAGAGATAGTAATGTCTGCCTCCCTGGGCTGGTGGACATAAGGTACTTTGTCAGCCTTTCAAATACTACATAATTGGGCTCTTCTTTATTATATACCTTAGGGGATAACTGAATTTTATCTGGTTTTTTATCATATTTGTTGAGAAATGTAATTTAACCCTCAGTTAGTGTTATTATGGGGGCATGCTATGTTATTGTATATGCCATAGAAATTGAAAAGAGTACTGTTGCCTTGGGGACCTGTCAGCTTGAAACTTGGGAGCCCAGGCATGCTCCCTTTCCCTCTCCCTCCCTCCCAGCCCCCTTCTCTCTGTGTGCATATCTCTCTTCCCTTCTCCTTCCTCTCTCTTTCCCCCTTCTCTTTCTTTCTGTCTCTGTCTCTCTCCCCCCCTATTATTCCCTCTCTCACCCTACCTCTCCCTCCCCACTTCCTCTTCCTTCCTATCTCTGTCTCTCTCTGTCAGTCTCTCCCCCTCCCTCCTTCTATTTCCCCTCCCTCTCTCTTATTCTTCCTTTCTCTCCCTGCTCCCTCTCCCCCATCTCTCAATTCCACTCTCCCTATCCCTCTTTCTGTCTCTCCCCCTCTCCTTCCTCCTCTTTATCTCTCTTCCCCCTCTCCTTTTTCCCTCTTTTCTCCCCCATTTTCCCTGCTCTTCCCCCCTTTTGCCCTTTCTCACTCTGTCTCTCTCTTCCCCTTTCCCTTTCCCTCTCTCTTTCCTCCATCTCCCTCCTCTCTATCTCTCTTCCCCCTTTTTTCTCTCTACCTCCCCCTCCCCTTTTTCTCTCCCCCACCCCACTCTTTCTCTCTCTCTATCCATGTTCTAATGGTCTGACCAATCTCTGATTCTTTATCCTCTCAACACTTTTTTTCCCTCCGACATCTCACATTACTGTCCAGAGTCCAATCAGCTCTCTCACTAACCCCTTCCCAGGCTGGTGGCTGGGCACAGTGGACATGTGCCCCACATGGGTTATTTGGGATAAAGTCAGCTAGGAGGTGCAGTGGATAGAGTGCTGGGCCTGGAGTCAGGGAGACCTAAGTTCAAATGTAGCCTCAGACATGTACTAGCTGTGTGGTCTTGGGCAAGTACTTCATTTCTGCCTCCATTTCCATATTTGTAAAATGGGTTATAAGAATAGCACATACCTCCCAGGGTTGTTTTGAGGATAAAATGAGTTAACATTTGTAAAGTGCTTTAAGGAAACAATGAACATGGACTTGGATAGACTCCAAGAGATAGTGGAGGACAGAGGGCCTGGCCTGGCGTACTCTGGCCCTGGGGGTCACGAAAAGTTGAACATGACTGACACCACCACCAAGATAAGCTGGCTCTCCCCTGCTGGCTTTTCTGAATGCCCAGTCCATAGCAGGCAACTGGCCCCAGGTTCAGCTACCATTTCTTTTTTCTTCATCCCTTTAGGGTTGGTAGGGGTCTAAGTGATCATCTGGTCCAACGGCCTGCTTTTATAGTTGAGGAAACTGAATCCCAGTTAGGGAAAGTGATTTGTACTTGGTCTCTGCTGCGGTAAATAGCCAAGGTGAAATTCAAACCCAGGTCCTCTCACCTCCAAACCCAACGCTCTTTCCATTGGATTTTCCTTAGAGTAGGAACCTTCTGGCCTCTACCATCCTAACTATACGCTAACCCTGCAGAGAGTGGGAGACTGAGCCCGCGTTAATAATCCAACTTAGGTTTATTTCTGTGTCCCGTTGAACTTTCCTCAAGACCAGCTCTTGGAGGTAAGACAGCACAACATTATCATTCTAGTTTTGCAGATGAGGAAACTGAGACTCGGAGAGGTAGATGAAATAACTCATCCTTGACTACAGAACTCATAAGCATCAGAACCAGGATTTAAAGCTAGCCAGTCTTAGTACAAGCCCGACACTTTTCTCAATATTCCAAATTATCACATTCAGGGCCTTGGAAACCTGATGGGAGGCAGATGGTACCAGAGAGCTTGGGTTGTTCTGGCCCAATCAGGGAAGCCTTTGAGGCACAGTGTTACAGTGGAAAATATCCTAGGTTTAGAGTCAGGGCCTGGGTTTGA